GAAAAGAACGGGATGGAGCCAGATTTGGTTACCTTCAATACGCTTTTAGCTGCATATTATAGAAAGGGTCATTTTTTAGATGCGGAAAACATGTGGAGTGTGATGGAAAACAAGAACCTTGCTCCTAATCTCATAAGTTACAATGCGAGGTTGCGAGGAATGGTTCAGGAGAAAAGATTGCAAGAAGGGATTGGGTTGCTAGCAGAAATGGAGGAGAAAGAAATCAAGCCAAATGTGTCCAGTTACAATGCTCTGATTAAAGGTTTTTGTGATGATGGGAATCTGGAGGAGGCGAAAAAATGGTATTACAAACTGAAGGAGAAGGAAGCTACTCCGAATCGATCAACTTACAGGGCACTTCTCCCCTTACTTGCCGAACAGGGTGATTTTGATATGGCACTTGAACTGTGCAAGGAGGCCATTGATAATCGTTTAGTTATTAATGCAGCAGAGGTGCAGCGTGTTGTTGATGGATTAGTTGAAGCTTCCAAGATTGAAGAAGCAAGGGACCTTGTGCAACTGTGCAATTCGAACAATTATTTAAATTTCAAGTTGGAATTGCCTCAGACGAGCACTTGATAAAGTTATTTCTATATGTTTCTTCGGCTTCAATTTTATCTTGTTTGTCAAATCGACTCTCTTTTTCCTCTAGCAATTTGATTAAACAGGGATCTGGATGAATTTTTTATGGAGTTATTACGACTTATTATGGAAACATGAACGAGATTGAGAGTTTTTTGGTCTCAGCATCATTGCCATTTGTCTCTGATAACAATAATTTCATTCTGGTTCCAATGGTGCTTACAGAATTATGTGCAATCATAGCATGATCATTGAGCTTAATGATAATGCATTTTCGTCTTCAATTTTCTCTTGATAACTAAAAACCATAATGAAACTTTTCCTGTAGTGACCTCCCGCCGCCATTTTCCCAACATAAGAAACGAGAACGATGGAGGAACAAAGTCAGCTACATACATCGCCACTACTTTCCTTAAGCGACCAAACACAGGCCCAACTAGCTGCAGAGACATCTTTCATCGTGGGAAGGAGATGACACTTCAGTTCCTGTGAGATCCATTTCTTGTAAGGGTGTGTAAACCTTTCCTTAACAGATTCGTTTTAAAAATCGTAAGACTATCGGAGATACATAACTGGCCAATCGAACCATATAACAAGAAAGAAAAGGAGCCCTGCTCTTTTAATCATGTTATATTCCAAATAGCTTTTTGATGGATTGGACAGCTTGAAGAGATGAAGAAAGATAAGTGAGGCAATAAGAGAAGGATTCCCACCCCGCTCTGCTGGAGATGCCCCACTTTCTTGCATCCTGTGTCAAGAATCGGCATCTAAACATAAAAGGAAGACGCAGGAAATTATTTTTGGAGGAGAAAAGAAGCTTTTACTTTGTTGTTACAGCTAAATCTAAGGCATCCCATGTAAGTTTATTAGCCAGTAACGTTGGCCCTTCCCTTTATTCGTATTCTCTCCTCTTAATCTCTCTCGCACCTTATAAAGCTTCCTTCACAAACCATACAGTTCTTGCCTGTGGTTTTTCTTCAACTTCTCTGCCGACTGACTTCCTTCCATTTGCTTCTGAAAGAAATGCAGAGAACTTATGGTTTTCTTGTCTGCCTCTTGGTTATTATTATGGATGTTACGGCTGGAATTCTTGGAATTCAGGCTGAAATAGCTCAAAACAAGGTATAAGAAGGCTGGAATGAAAATTCTGTACTGACATTCTTTGTTAAAGATCTGGTTTTTTCCCCCTCATTATTTTGTGTACACTTTTGATAGGTGAACCATTTGAAAATGTGGATTTTTGAATGTAAAGACCCAAGCTATAATGCTTTTAAGCTAGGCTTGGCTGCAGCCATACTGCTTGGCATTGCTCACGCTATTGCCAATTTGATTGGTGGGTGCATTTATGTTCGATCTGCTGAAGAATACAAAAGGTTAACCTCTACCATGCAAATTGCTGTGTGTTCTCTCATCTTTGCATGGTAAGAACAGCCTTCCTTCCCTACCTTCTTCAAGATCGACTCGACCCTTATGGTTCTCTGATGCAATGTTTTCAAATGGTGATTACATAGGATTGCGCTTGTGGTTGGATTCTCAATGCTTATCTCGGGGGCAATGTATAACACAAGGTCGAGAGAATCATGCGGGGTTGCTCATAATCATCTTCTGTCTGTTGGGGGAATTGTGTGCTTCGTGCACGGCTTGTTTGCAGTTGCTTATTGTATTTCTGCCACAGCAAGCATCAGGGATGAGATGAAGCCGCCACAGTCACAGGGGAACCCTGCCGGAGCTACAGTCCACGTTTAGCTCTTTTATGAACTTTACACTCTGTTCCTTCTCAGTTCTTAAACCGAAAGATTTTGTCAAATTGACTGTTTTCATTGTCTGCATGTTGCTTCAATTCGTAGCTAGAACTACTCCCAAATTTGGGAATAGCTCTCTCCTTGATAATATAAAATCATATTCCTCTTGTTCCCATCTTGTTGAGAGAGCTCCGAAGAAAGAAAGAAACTCCCTTTACAAGAACTAATGATGCAAGTAATATGCAATTTGAAAATGGGATTAGAAACACAAAAAGTTGTGATCGGACAGATATTTTTACAATTATCTTCAAACTTGAGAAGAAACTGTAAACAATGTTCTCAAGATTATTGTATGACTAATAACTATAACTATATTTATATTAAAAACAAAACAAAAAACAAAGGGTGTGAGAAGTGAGTAAGATCATAAGCTGCAAACAATTAAAAAAAATATGAATCAAACAGTTCTAAAAAACTACTCCGAAGCACCCAAGTGAGCAATTCTCACAAGATTCATGATCTTCAATTCTCAAACACAGCAAAGAAAGAAAACGTTCTACAAACATCTTGAATGATATTATAACTACTCATATCAGCGTAAGACAGGAAGATCTGCTTAACCATGATGAAGAAAATATAAGATAGATGTTTTTAGGAGAACATCAAACTAGAAGAAGCAGACGTCAACACCAAATACATATGGCAGAGTCTAACCAAGGGAAGTAGAGGTTGAAGCATAGTCAGTAGGACATTACCCTAAGGCCTCGAGGCAATCATAAACTCAGACAAACTACAAGTATAGCAATCAGTAAATACTAGACAAAACAACAAACAGGAACAATTTGAGCTCTGAATTATCAAAATGGAAGCTGTCCAATGTCTAAATCCTTACTTCTCAGATGACTTGTACGCCTCCAGTATCAACTTTGCTTGGTCCCTAATCAACTCAGTCTTCTTCAGAAAAAGTTCTAATTCCGCAACATGCAATTTCTTCCACTCTTCCTCCAGCTCTGTTCTCTTGGATTGCCTTATTAGCTCTAATCCTGGCTTCAAAAAACTTTCCGGCAAGCCAACAGCACCAAAAGACCGTTCAAACGCAACAAAACCATCCATGCAACCTGACGGAGCCTCGTTATCATTAACTTTCATCTTACCATCCTCCTTTGAGGCCTCTGGAGAAGGAAGCAACTCAGCTTTCAGTGAAGCCAGTGTCTTACTGGTGCTACCTCTTTGATTCTTATTAGGAGTGCCATTAACATTGAGCTTCAGCTGCTCCACAGCCGGAGTGCGAGCAAATCCTTCGCCGCCCCATATTTTCTTGGACAGTTCGAAACCTTTCTGTTCGTGGGCTTTTGAAAACGTTGGGTCTGCACCCTTCTTCCCTCTATCGACATTATTCCTAAATTTCTTCCTCAGTCGACGTATCTTATCCACTAACTGAGCCCTGGTTACATCGACGTGAAGAGATTTCTTGATGAAATCGTGAAAGGAATTCATTTCTAAAGCTGGGTCGGTACCTTTCTTGGCTGAGTAATCAATCATACCTTTCAGTATAGCAATCTCGTCATCCTCACTCCACAGTCTCTGAAACAGCTTTTTGGATTCGTCAACAGATTTCTTAGAATCGTCTTCTGCGACTGCCCCATCATCAGCGTCAGCCACAGAACTCTTCTTTGCTCGCTTGGCATCTCTGGTTGTGTCACTAGGGGTCTTGAAAGACGATCTCGCAGGCGTAGCTGAGGCAGAAGGCTTGGATCTGGGCTTTTTCACCTTCGGAGTCTCTTCCATCGGCTTAGAGGCAATAGGCTTCACATTTCGTTCGGACTCAGTATCCGTATCGGAGTCGGATCCGGAGCCTCTTTCCGAGGAAGAAGACTGAGCCTGAGAGTTTGGAACAAGTTCAGATTTCTTAGGTGCGGGTTTCTTTGCGACGGCAGAAGTAGAAGGAAGAGCAGAAGACTTCTTCAGTTTCTGATTTTGAGTCAGAGCTTGTGTTTCATCTTCATCCTCTTCGGATGAGGAGGAAGATCCGCCTCTCGACCCGCCTTCCTCTTCCTCGCCCGATGAAGTTTCTTCTTCTTCAGAGGAAGACGCTGCCGGAGGCTCATCCAAGGGTGACGGACGTTTGGGAGCCATAACCGGAGAAGGAGATCGGGGTTGTTTCGCCTGCTAGGGTTTGATCAGAAACAAGCAAATTGGGTGCAAATTTACGGTCTTTATCAAAACCCGAGAAATGGGCGCGATATTGAGTGTGAACAATTTCTGACCGTCGGATTAGAGGAGATCTTCTTCAGTTAGTCGTAATGGCAACCCCTAAAATTTTTTTAGATTTAATTTTAAAATTTAGTCAAGTTCAAAGGTGTATAAAATATTTTTTAAATTTAAACGATATATAATACATTTTTAAATTGTAAACAATATATATAGTAGATTTACAAAAAATAAAAAATAAAAAAATAAAAAATCTCTGATATGAAATTTTAAATTTTAAATAAAATTTAATATTTCACTAAATTGCCTCAATTTGACCTTGTTATTCTATCTCTCACCTCCCAATCATTAAACAATAATCGATAATAAAAAAGGTTTGTTTATTTTAAAATATATACCTTTATTTCTTAATAATTCAAATAATTTAAGCTCCTTTTTTTTTTAAATGATTTCCTGTTGAAGTTTTTTTGTTGCATTATTCCAAACAAGCCTCACGTTAACCACCGTTATTAGAAGCAAAAAAAGTCAAATTTCCATTCTGCTTGATTATTCGCCGGATTTAAAGTCAACCTTGGAATTGAAGTCAACTATAATGAATTAAATATAACAAGAAGAAGAGATTAATTAGTCTCAACTCTCTGCTCAATCCTCCTGGATCTCAGAAACATGTAGATGCAGATTATCAAAATCCAGCAAGAAAGTACCGACAGAACCATTATGATCACAATATGAACTCTGGTGTTCACATTCTTTGTCCCTGCATTCAAACCAAACTTAAATCCAGAATTCAAATTGCTCTGAGAAGATGAACTAAAAGAAACATACATACCTACTGCCCGAGTTTCGTTACTGGTCGATGAGGCTGTAGATATTGCCATCAATGGTGGAGTTGGCGGCAGTGTTGGCCTAGTATTGTCAAAGAAGCGGGTTGGTTTATAATTCACCATGCAGCTGGGGGTGAAAATCCCAGCGGATCGGCTGCAACAATCTGGGAATTTCTTGAAAATGGAAGACAAGCAATCGTCACATTGTTGTGTAGTTAAATCAGGTAGGCATTGGACAAGAGCGTAAATTGTTTCCAGCCCTGAACTTGACATATTTCCAGCTGCATATTTGTGTAGAGAATCACCTAAAGAAGCTCTGCTTTTCAGACTATTCAACAAGATTCTTAGCCTCGGAATAAACCGAGCTGTGTTCGTTGCGTTTTCTGTCGATTGAGTCCTGAAAATTGGCTTAATATCCATTTGGTTTGACAAGGGTCGACTTGAGTAGTGCAGGAAGCAATTTTCATACCATCCAATTGCTTCTTTCTGGTTAGGACAGAGCTTCGTTAGAAGATGAACAGAGTGGTTGAGGCAGCTTCGACACGATTCAAGCTTGATGTCGGGTATACAAACACCGACGGCATTGGCTATGTCAGAGCCTTGTCCATGAGAGAATCTGTAGAAGCCGTAGCTGAGTTTTTTGTCGGTGGTGATGGAGGAGAGAACATGGTGAAGATTGGTCTTGAAGGTACTGTTGGCTGTGAAGCTACGAGCGCTGTCATTGCAAAAGTGAGCGATGAAGTGTGGCTGAGCAGAAGCTTTGGCCATCAACAGCAGAGGAGCCAGGAGAAGGTAGAATGCCATGGCTGCTTGGCTTTGTGCTTCTTCTCAGTCCTTCTCTATTATATATATCAGACACCGTTTGAGTTTTGTATATTGACTATGTGTTAAAAATAATTAATGGAAACTCATAATTGTCACGGACCATGTTCAATTATTCTTGACAGCAAACTATTTGTTTAGATCATGATGGGAAATTTTGAAAATGTACGCTACCCTGATAAATTAACACAATTATGAAGGTCAGAATATTCCAGTTGAAAATAGAAAAAGAATCTATATGTTGTGTTACATATATAAAAATAAAAATAATTAATTAGTCGCCTTTCCACATATGTAAAAATAATTAATGGGTCGTCTATATTTGAACGTAACAAAAATTCATCATCCCTATAATACTATACATAAACACCACTTTGGATAGTCCATTCAACAATAAACTTCACATAGAACAACCATTTTATTATTTAATCTATATATATATATATATATGTTCTCAAAATGCAAAATAGATGAAAGCCTAACGAGGAAAAAGCTCTGAAATTGAAGCATCATTATCCGAATTTTGAAGAGATCTGGCTTCAGAATGAGAACCCCCATCTGACTTTACCATTGTGTTGGATTCACCGGTGATACTATGCATGAAGAATCCAGGTCTAGAGGGTACTGGAAGAGTGAGTGAGGAACTACTTAGCATCATCGCCACTGAAGCCATTGTTGGTCGATTTCCTACGTTTTCTTGAACACACAATAGTCCGATATGAATGCATCTTATCATTTCGATCCTTGAACCAACACTAAGTGTTGAATCTATTATATTTGTCGTTGTTCCTTCTCTCCAATTTTTCCATGCCTACAACAAAATCCACCATGGTGTTGTTTATTCAACTATTTTTATTTGCTTTAACAAGTAAATCATATACTTACAAAGCTGGAAAGGTCTTCGATGTTTTCTCCGTTGCGAAAACAATTGCCTTTTTGACCGCTTAAAATTTCAAGAACTAAAATACCGAAGCTAAAGACATCTGATTTTACTGAAAATTGTCCGTGGATTACGTACTCTGGAGCCATATAACCGCTGTGAAAGTGCCAACAATAGATTATTCAAAAGATTTGTTAAGGAAATAATTGAACAAAATCTATACTTACTAAGTTCCCACAACTCTACTTGTGTTGCCTTGAGTCTCATCTACGTCGAACAATCTTGCCATACCAAAATCAGCAATCTTTGGATTCATTTCTATATCCAACAAAATATTGCTAGCTTTGAGATCACGATGTATGATTCGAAGACGAGAATCTTCGTGAAGATAAAGAAGTCCTCGTGCAATGCCATTTATAATTTTGTATCGTCTTTCCCAATTTAACAGTGCCCGCTTTCCCAAATCTGCATGGATGTTTAAATTCTTGTGAACTATATGAACGATGCATTTTCCAATTTGTGCAGACCAAAGAAAGAACAGAGGTTATACCAAATATGAAGTGGTCAAGGCTGCCATTTGGTACAAACTCATATATGAGAAGTCTTTCGATTCCTTGCAAGCAGAAACCCAGCAGCCTAACCAAGTTCCGGTGCTGAAGCTTCACTACCAAAAGGACTTCATTTTTGAATTCAACGTCGCCTTGTTGTGAATTGTTCGCAAGCCGCTTCACCGCAATATGCTGTCCATTAGGAAGCTTACCCTGAAAATATGAACATCAAATTTATAGTAAGAATATAACACAACACCTCATAACAGCTCCAAATTCATTGATTCATGTTCTTTAATTCCTTTCATACCCTGTAAACAGCTCCGAATCCACCCTGTCCCAGCTTGTTTTCGTCTGAGAAGTCATCAGTTGCCTCTTTAATTGTGTCAAAATCAAATTGAATCGTCTCCACACTGCTAATTTCATCGGTGGCGTCTCCATGAGTAACAGCTAAGAGAAGATTCAGACATGAACATCAAAGTCATTTGTAGGATCAAAGCTGTAAGCTTATTTGAAAAACTACACTATCAAAGTAAAACTATCATCTAAAAAACAAAACAGAGGAAGCGTAAAGCACTCACTTTCAAGTCTTTGTAATGATCTTTTGTGCTTTCGCTTCCTCAATCTCGCAACGATGCAAATACCAACAATGAGAATGATGGCTGAAGCGATGGACACCGCTACAATGATAACAGTTCTAGCAGTATACCCATTACTTTCTGCAAACAGGGCATGTCAAGTACGATGAGTAGTGGAAACAGAGTGTTGAAACAACAACAAATAAGACAGCTCTAATTGCATTACCCGGTGTCGAAGTCGAAGATGGAGGGAGGAGATTAGGAGATGAGGGCGGAGGCAGAGGAGGAGAGAGAAGTGCTGCATAGAGAGGGTGGATTTCATAGTTTATTTGACAACTTGTCACAATTAATCTCGCCCCTATGCTGCCGTTACAACAACTGGGAAGATTACTTTGAAGCCGACTGAGGCAGACATCACAATCGAAGTACGACATGTCGGGAAAACAATCAACGAGGCCATATATGGTATACGTATTCGGATTTGCAAGTTTGACATCTCCGCCGGCAGACTTGCGAATTGAACTCCCTAACGCAGCCTCCTCCCGGAGTCGATCTAACAACTCTCTCCGTTCCTCGTTGAAACTGTTGGCATCCGGGGCCTGAGCAGTGTTGAAAGCGATTTGCGAGGCGGAATTGATGGTTATCTCACCGTGAACAGAGTTGTTTGAGTAAAGTATTTGGCAATGATGGTACCATCCCGCACCTTCCTTCTGGTTTGGACAGTTTTGTACAATCCTGCGGGCTGAGTCATTCACGCATGATCTGCAGTCTTCCAAGGGAACACCTTTACGACAAAGAGCCTTGGCGTTGGCCGTGTCGGGAGCTTCACCGAAGGTGGCATTATAGAAACCGTAGTCGACACGGGTGTCGGTGTTGGAGTTGGAGGTGATTGAGGCGAGTGCGTTTTCGAGATTTTTCTTGAAAGGGCTGTTGTTGGTGTAGTTGGCGTTCTCTGAACATTTGGACAGAAAAAAGTCGCGCTGTGAAGTTGTGGTAAGCATCAATTGTGCAATAACGAAGGAGAGGTAGAAAATCCTTCTCAAACTCGAACTGCCCATCTCCATTATCCCTCTGCAACAACATCAGCTACCCTCGGTTCTTTTTAAAGACAAGATAGCACAGCCAACCATCCATCGTCGACTTCCCAAGTCCACGGTCTGGGTCATCAGGTCCGTGATATTTACGCATAGTTCCATTTGAAAATTCGAAGTTATGACTCACTTCGACTTAAGAACCCCATTTTTTTCTGACTAGTCTTCAACTACCGTTTGGATAATTTATGCGAGCCATTAATGTGTTCTTTTCAAATTTGACCATTTCTTAATGTATATCAGTGATATACATCTATCGTTAGTAGACATAAAAATATTAATAGATGGTCTTGGTTCAAACGTAATAAAAACTCACCATAAACGTCAAAATTGTGTTAACTCTAAGTGGAGTTGCTCATAATAACGTATTTTATGATGATAAAAGAGAAAATAGAGTTATATAGAAAATTTCTTAGGAGACTTTATAAGATGGAAGTTTAGAAGTGAATCCATAAATGAAGATATACAAAATTAAATCTAAGAGAAGCAAAAAATAGAGAATATTCGACAATATTTGAGCGATAAAATTCTAACGAGGATGAAACTCCGAAATTGAAATGTCATTATCAGAAGTTTGAAGAGATTTGGCTTCCGAATGAGTACCCCTATTTGGCTTTAACATTGTGTTGGATTCATTGGTGATACTATGCATGAAGAATGCAGGTTTAGAGGGTATAGGGAGAGTGAGAGAAGAACTACTTAGCATCATGAGCACTGTAGCCATTGTTGGTCGATCTGCTACGTTTTCTTGAACACACAATAAACCAATGTGAATGCATCTTATCATTTCGATCCTTGAACCAACATCAAGTGTTGAATCTATGATATTTGTAGTTGTTCCTACCCTCCAATTATTCCATGCCTGCAACAAAATCCACCATGGTGATGGTTATTTAACTTTTAGTATCAACTTCAACTATAAGTAAACGATATACTTACAAAGCTGGAGAGATCCTCGACATTTTCTCCATTGCGAAAACAAGTACCTTTTTTACCACTCAAAATTTCAAGAACCAAAATACCAAAACTAAAGACATCTGATTTTATTGAAAATTGTCCGTAAAGTATATACTCTGGAGCCATATAACCGCTGCAAAAGTACGAACAATAGATTACTCAAAAGATTTATTCAAGAAAATAAATAAACAAAGTTGGTACTTACTAAGTTCCCACAACTCTACTTGTGTTGCCTTGAGTTTCATCTACATCGAACAATCTTGCCATACCAAAATCCGCAATCTTTGGATTCATTTCTATATCCAACAAAATATTGCTAGCTTTGAGATCACGGTGTATGATTCGAAGACGAGAGTCTTCGTGAAGATAAATAAGTCCTCGTACAATGCCGTTTATGATTTTGTACCGTCTTTCCCAACTTAACTCTGTCCGCTTTCCAAAATCTACATGGATGTTTAGATTTTTGTGAATTATATGAATGATGCCCTTTCCAATTTGTGCAGACCAAAGAAAGCACAGAAGTTATACCAAATATGAAGTGGTCAAGGCTGCCATTTGGTACAAACTCATATATGAGAAGTCTTTCGATTCCTTGCAAGCAGAAACCCAGCAGCCTAACCAAGTTCCGGTGCTGAAGCTTCACCACCAAAAGGACTTCATTTTTGAATTCAACGTCGCCTTGTTGTGAATTGTTCGCAAGCCGCTTCACCGCAATATGCTGTCCATTAGGAAGCTTACCCTGAAAATATAAACATCAAATTTATAGTAAGAATATAACACAACACCTCATAACAGCTCCAAATTCATTGATTCATGTTCTTTAATTCCTTTCATACCCTGTAAACAGCTCCGAATCCACCCTGTCCCAGCTTGTTTTCGTTTGAGAAGTCATCAGTTGCCTCTTTAATTGTGTCAAAATTAAATTGAATCGTCTCCACCCCGCTAATTTCATCAGTGGCGTCTCCATGAGCAACAGCTAAGAGAAGATTCAGACATGAACATCAAAGTTATTTGTAGGATCAAAGCTGTAAACTTCTTTGAAAAACTACACGATCATCTAAAAAACAAAACAGAGGAAGGAGAAGATGAAAGTCCCACGTCGACTAATTTAGGGAATGATCATAGGTTTATAATAAAAGAATACTCTCTCTATTGGTGTGAGGTATTTTGGGGAAGCCCAAAGCAAGGCTACGAGAGCTTATGCTCGAAATAGACAATATCATACCATTGTGGAGAGTCGTGTTCATCTAACAGTGTAAACCACTCACTTTCAAGATTTTGTAATGGTCTTCTGTGCTTTCGCTTCCTCCATCTCGCAACGATGCAAATGCCAACGATGATAATGATGGCTGAAACGATGGACACCACAACAATTATAACAGTTCTAGTAGTATTGCCATTATTTTCTGCAAAAGAAGGGGACAAAATTAGTATGAAAATATGAGAATATGTTGGAAAAAAAGAGAAAAGAACACCGAACAGAGCATGTCCTTACCTAGTGTCGAAGGCGAAGATGGAGGGAGGAGATTAGGAGCTGAGGGCGGCGGCAGAGGAGGAGGAGGAGAGAGAAGTGCCGCATAGAGAGGGTGGATTTCGTAGTTTATTTGACAACTTGTCACAGTTAATCTCGCCCCTATGCTGCCGTTACAACAACTAGGAAGATTACTTTGAAGACGACTGAGACAGACATCACAATTGAAGTACGACATGTCGGGGAAACAATCGACAAGGCCATATATGGTATACGTATTCGGACTTTCAAGTTTGACATATCCGCCGGCAGACTTGCGAATTGAAGTCCCTGACGCAGCCTCCTCTCGGAGTCGATCTAACAACTCTCTCCGTTTCTCATTGAAACTGATCGCATCCGGGGCCTGAGCGGCGTTGTAAGCAATTCGCGACGCGGAATTGATGCTTATCTCACCGTGAACAGAGTTGTTTGAGTAAAGTATTTGGCAATTACTGTACCATCCCACACCTTCCTTCTGGTTTGGACAGTCTTGTACAATCCTGATGGCTGATTCCTTCACGCATGATCTGCAGTCCTCCAAGGGAACGCCTTTACGACAAAGAACCTTAGCGTTGGCTGTGTCGGGATCTTCACCGAAGGTGGCATTATAGAAACCGTAGTCGACCCGGGTGTCGGTGTGGGAGTTGGAGGTGATTAAGGCGAGTACGTTGTCGAGATTTTTCTTGAAAGGGCTGTTGTTGGTGTAGTTAGCGTTCTCTGAACATTTATGTGATAAAAATTCCGGCTGAGAAATTGTGGTAGACATCAATTGTGCAATAACTAAGGCGAGGTAGAAAATCCTTCCTAAACTGAAACTGCCCATCTCCATCATCCCTCTGCAACAACATCAGCTTCTCTCGGTTTGTTTGATATGAATTGGATAGGACAGCCACCCAACCGTCGTTGACTTCCCAAGTCCACGGTCTCGGTCATCAGGTCCGTAATATTAACGCGTAGTTCCATTTTGAAAATTCTGAGTTATCATTACTTCCCCTTTAAAGAACCATTTTTCCTGACTCACCCTCAACTACCCGTTGAAAAATTTATACAAACACCAAAAATGTGCTCTTTTTCACGACCATTCTATTTTTTTTATTAATAAATTCCAACTTTTTATTTAGTTTTAATAATGTCAGTATACTTTTCTTCTTAAAAAAACAATGTTTAAGACTTGCGTCCTTAGCAAGAAGATCTCAATCTTTTCTTTTTAATTAAATAATTTCGAGCATATCCTTAAATTGATTAAATTTAAATTTTTTTCTTTGAATTTCTTGCACTTGTTGAAAATAAACTATTGTGCGCAGTAAGTATTTTAGTGAAAATTGATTAAAGGGTAAAAAAAAAAATGCAACAATGATCTAAATTATATAGATTTTTTTTTTTTTTTGAAATAGAATATATAAAAAGAAAAAACACGTCTGCGTCGTCAAGTCAAAGAAAACGAACCGATGTTCTGGAGACCTATTCAATCGGCTTTAGGGGGGCGCCGTTCAATCCAATTTTCTGGGCTCTGTTGCTCTTTTGCTCGGTCATACGCACAGTTACTGCTCGTCCCGTCGGAGGAAGTTAATTAGCAGTTACTTCAACAGAATCAGACTCAGGGCCAACCTAACTACGACAGATACTTCTCTTATTCTGTTGGCCATGGAAGTGCTTCTTAGACGGTTAGCTTCTGCCGATGCTGCTCGGTGCTTGTCTACTTCACTTGCTGGTTCCATTTCCGATAAGTGTATTCGTGCCGCTCCTAATTGCCGAACTCGATTCCCTTTTCGCTTCGGTAGCCTCTGTAGTTTTTCCGACTCTTCGAATGAGTCAAATGCTTGCTCTGTCTCTTCTGGTAAGCCTTAGCTTTTGTCCACCTCTTGCATTTCAATTATGCTGATTTTTAAGTCCTTTGGCAAATGCTAAATCTTCTCAAAATTCTTCTTGTTTTTTTTTTTTTTTCGTTTGCAAAGTGGAAAATGATGCTGCAGTAAATTGCAATGGATTTCGGACATGGCGTAATGGAGGTGGGACTTTTCACCACTCCGCTTGCATTGATCCTACAGCACTCATCGAGATTGGTGCCGTGGTTCACTCGAACTCTGTCGTCGGTGCAAGTGTGCGTATTGGATCAGGATCTGTTATTGGAGATGCTGTTACAATTGGTCAATCAACAAGGATTGGGTGTGTTTTCTTCTTTGACGGGATTCAAACAAAGCTTTCCATAGTTTTCGAATAATGAATTGTTACACTTGCGTCCTGCTTTTTGCTCTTTTCTTTGTAATGGAATTACTTTGCAATCTCTAGGTATAATGTTGCACTCAGTAACTGCACCGTAGGTGATTTTTGCGTTATCCACAATGGAGTGTGCATTGGTCAAGATGGTAAGGCTGATTTTCATGAACTCCATTTTCTTGGGAATTAGAGGAACCATAAGTTTCTTCCCATAAATTAAATAATAGGAGAGGAGACGCATATATCTATCATTGATGCCTATATGTCAAAATTCCAACCCAAATACTCAAATTCCAAGTGATTGTCCTCCATGGAACGTTTAACTGCAGTATTTATGATCTTTTAACCATCTTTATTCATCAATTGAATGACTTAGTTCCAAGGTGAACTATCAAAATCAAAATGCTAATTCCAAAGTTTTCTCCTTGCAGGGTTTGGATTTTTTGTGGATGAGCACGGGACTATGAAAAAGAAACCTCAAGTTTGTGTCATAACCTTTGTTTCCATTATTTCTACTAGCTACTCGTGAATTAGTGTTTAACAAATCCGTTGTGCTAGTTCTCTATTAGCTACTCGTGAATTAGTGAACTACTTGATTTGACAGACTTCAGCATTTGCTTTTCAAGTGTCAATCTCTTATATTTGATAATTACTTGTGATTTTGGGATTCTTGATCCTACATCATTGGTTTCAGGATGCATAATTATGTTTGGTAATGATGCATAATTATGTTTGGTAGAAACGATAAAGATATTGCCAATATCAAATTCCTTTTTATATAAGGAGTTGAAGTGGTTGTCTTATATTTTCTTCTCATCTTTCTTAGATGCTGAATGTTAAGATTGGAACGAATGTAGAGATTGGTTCAAATACATGCATTGATAGAGGAAGGTACTGCAGCAATGGGCTGTCTATGTTTTCTTGGCAATATTGCCTTTGGGAGTAGGCTGAGCTGAAATACTAATATAGTGATCTGTCTATGCAGCTGGAGAGATACTGTCATAGGCAATAATACAAAGATTGACAATTTGGTTCAGGTTTTTCCTCCTCCCACCCACCCACACACACACACACGCACGCACCAGAACTCCATAGTCGAAAATTGTCATAGTGACTATCATCAATCTCTTCCTGGCTATTTAGATCGGTCATAATGTAATTATTGGAGATTGCTGCATGCTTTGTGGGCAAGTGGGAATTGCAGGATCCGTCACGTACATCTTTTTGCTTCTTCCAAGCTCTGTTGTCATTTCTTTTGTTTCCGATTCAATTTAAGTTCAGTTTCTGATGAAACTCCTCCAGCAATGACTTTGGGTGGTTCATTTCTTTCAGGATAGGGGACTATGTGACATTGGGTGGGCGAGTAGCTATCCGTGATCATGTATCAATTGGATCAAAAGTATATCTCTTCAAGTTGGATTTAGTATTTACTACAAAAGCACCAAATAGATCTATATGTTTCCTGTGGCTATGCTTTGACCGATAAATATGTTTTGGATTAAGGTGTCTAACCAGTAGAAGTCTGCAGGTCCGGCTTGCTGCCCTGAGTTGTGTCACCAAAGACATTAAGGAACCTGGGGATTATGGTGGCTTTCCTGCTGTAAGGATTATATATTGGTTTCACTTTTGCATGCTTACTACACTTTGATTGTTCTAGAATAGTGAATCAAACTTCTTGGTTACTGATGTTAACTGTCAGCACATGTAACTATAAAATCCATCAATGTTTGCAGGTACCAATTTCTGCGTGGAGAAGACAAATTGCTAAGCTTTCTCAGTCATCGAGGAAGAAATGAAATCAGGAACTTCAAGCTTCTTTCGTCTGCTATGTACTGACATCATATGAGTTTGGAGATGCAGTTCATGCAAGGGTGCAGGTAATTGCTGCTATGACTAGCATTCTTAGATCCTTAGCTGACCTATCAATAGATACTTATTGTGATATTTGTTTCTTTCGCCTAAAAAAGTAGCCTTTAATATTTTGATTAGATTATTAATTTATTAAACATTGCAATCTAGGTGGTTGATGCTCTGTATGTACTCTATTTCACAATGCTCAGTGTCGTTGCCATTTGAAGAATTTTCTTTTTTGGTTTTTCCTTATTCTTCATGGATTTAGAGTGGGATTCTTCTACAAAGAGTAGGCAAACTCCATTTTTAATCTAAATCTTAAACATAGCTATTGAACTGCGGGGTACTTCCAACTTGCGAGATCCCACGTCAGTTGCAGAAGAGAACGAAACATCTCGTCAAGGTGTGGAAACTTCTCTCTAGAATACACGTTTTAAAACCTTGTGATGAAATCTAGTAGAGAAAGTTCAAAGATGACAATATCTACTGGCTGGTGGGCTTGGGGTGTTACACAACTTTACCTCTGTCCCACGCTAGTTAGAGTGGGGTTGATATCGGGCTCTGTCCCATAACCTTCTTGTTAATAGGCCGAATGGGTTTTGCTGTTTTCCCCTGAAGCAAAAGTTACAGAAATGGTCACCATTTTGACCTTGAAAGAAACAGCTTAAGCACGTACCCAACTGCCAACTTTGACTTTCTGGACCGGAATAAAATCCTACTAGGAAAAACAATTAGTTTACTGCTTTCTCTTCTCTGTTTCTTTCCTTTCAAAAACATTAAATAAAATAGTAATTTCATTGACAAAAGACCAACTATGAGGCAGTCTAAACAGAATTCAAGTGCCATTTTATCAATCCAGAATGTGCAGCCTAGACCTTATGCAACTTACCATATATTAATTTACCAGACACGAACCCAATTACGCGCCCATATATTATAAACTATTCATGTCACATTCGGAATCATATAGTATAGCTTTCAATTTTAATAGTACCATACCATCAATTAAAACCTCCACTTATTCCGCAGATTATTCCTCAATGCTCGCCAGAGTCCTTCCAAGTCTGGCTCAAGTGATGGGTTTTTTTTTTTTTTCTCTCCCTTAAATATGATTCTAAATTCTTGTGAGAAACGACAAGTGTTGGTTTTTTTAGTTGGGGCGGACAAGTAGCGGTTGAGAATGACGTAATTTCAATTTCTGTCCATTAGTTATCATTCAAATTATACACTAATCTCTATTTAATCTTTAGGAATAATCATTTTCCAATGGTGAAGGGTTGACAAGTGAAAATATAATTATATATTGAATAAATGAATAAATTATGAACTTGTACAAGTTCATTTTTTAAATAAAGTATAGACTAATATAGATATTTTTTTTTCTTAAACAAAGTTTGCCAACATTATAAAGGAAAGTAAACCACATATATTAATATCAATTCCTCAAACCATAAAATTGAAATGTCAAATTGATTAAAAAAAATTGAAGTTGTCTTTCTTGTCTTTCTTGTCTTTCTTCCAACCCTACAAAATTTAAACCCAGTGCATGCTTGATATTATTTCTTTTTAATTATATATATATATATCAACTCGTTGGTTGTTTTTTGATATATAAAATTAAAAATAATATATGTGCCTAAGAATGTCCATTATGTCATTTTATGCTTAATATTTATTATATATTTTAAAAGTTTTATCAAGGTCAATTTTGTGTTAGTTGATTAGGTTAAATGGCAAGTATTGGATGTGAAAGATACCTGCAATTCTTTTAGTTTTTTATTCTAAGCAATTAAAATAATTTAAATATAAGTCTATTGATTAAGATATATATTATCAGTCCAAAAACGATTCTACGTACATATTAAGACACAGTTATAGGTATATTTTTTTTTCATTTCTTACGGTCATATTCATTAATGTATTTGGACATATACCTATACTATTTAATGTTTTATGACACATAACAATCGGTTTGTAATAAAATATCCGACTTTGTTGATAAAAAAAATGTATTTATTTAATTCTAAATTGCATGTCAGGTATCCAATTACCTAAGGAAAATAATAATTCAACCCATCATCAGTTTTTTACCAAGTAAAAAAAAAGCTTTATTTATTTATTTATTTTTAATGTATTTAAGGGTAAAAATTAAAATCAATTTTTTTTTTTTTTTTTTTTTATGGTTAAGTATATATTTTAATTTTAATTTCTTTCTTAAAAATTTAAAACAGAAATTATAAATTTATCTAAATTTTTGTCAATTATTATGTTTCCATTTTTTGGGTTTTTCGCTGGCCAATTCTAATATTCGGAATTTAAAATTTTTGTTTAGTATAGAAATAAACATAATTATATAACTAAAATCCAAGATAAATTTCCATTAATTAAAAGCTTATCTATTACAATACTGTAATATGATATTCTAAAAACAGAAAAAGAAAAACTTTAAATTATTATTTTGATTATATATATAAGCTAAATTAAAGTGATAAATGGCATGATACGTTTAATATATAATCCTCCAGAGCGAAACACTGCAAATTTCCCAATTCGTTCTCTGTTCTTATTTCCTCTGTTTCCTCTGTTTCCTCTGTTCTTATTTCCTCCGTCTTCATCAGCAAATTGCTCCACGCATTCAAGATCAAAATCCAGTTAGAATTGTATCTAATTTGTATTCGTATCTATTCATACTACGTACTTCGTAGCAGTTTACAGGAAGAAAGAACGAAAGAAGAAGCACCACAACCGATTCCTTGGAATCTTTCTCAGGTTTGTTGTCTTTTCATTAACCTAATTTGGATCGCAGTGGATTCGTTGGGTTTGTTTATCTCTTTATTTCCTCCATATTTTGACTTCTTTCTTCTCTTTCTTTTTCATCTAATCAGTTCATCGAAACCGAGTCGGTCCGCTTGTTCTTGAAGTTCTTCCTGTAAATTCAAGTCGTTTTTCATTTCTTGCTTCTTGTTCTTGAATGGAATCGGCGGACAATCCGAAGTCGGTAAGGGTGTTTCTACTTTTTCTAGAGTAATTTACGGTTTTGGGTCATTAATTGTGTTTGTTTCCGATGACCATTAATTCCCAGAAGAGCCTTGGGTGTTTTCTTTTTCTTCTTTTTTACTCCAAACCACTTATACATTAAAACGGTTCAGGTGATACCTTCTGGGGAAGTGAATAATGGGGTAGAAAAAGCAGTGGTTCCCGATCAAACAAACAGTGTTCAGTACACAACAAAACCCGATAGCTTCATCATCGATCTGGACAGCTTTTCCAGTAGTACCACCAAGGAAATTTCTCAGTCTTCAAGCATTTCCGTGAGTTTCTTTCATTCATTTTGTCTTTCCCGTTTAAGACTAAGTTCATATGAAAATACAAATTAAGTAATTTAATCAGAGGATTAAAAGAAGACGTTTTGTTGTTTTTTACGGAAACGGCAGAGGAATTTTAGCAGAAAAGGTACGTTGCGTGGCGGAAACAAAATCGGGCAAGATCATGGTGCTGCTGATGACACACAGGAGTCCATGTCCCCAATAGGTAAAGTGACTTAAAACACCAGCTTCTGCTGCACGTGCATAGCACTTGCCAGATTCAACAACAGACAAAAAGGGAACATGAACACTTGGGAGCTTTTTTTTTTTTAATTTAGAATTTTCCCCATAAAAAAATGTCGGGTGTTGTTTATGTTATTAAAATTGCAGGCGGTGTGGTACTTGGAGCGGCTAGCACGCTCGAAAAGCAGGCGGTGGTGATGGGGTTGGGGTCCAGAGAAGAACTGGGCGGTGGTGGAAATGGTAGCGGCGCACTGAGCCATGAGATTGCGAAATCGACCGCCCACGGTGGCAGCGGCACGGAAAGACTGAGCTTTAGAAGAAGCAGCTTTAAGCGATCTTCACAAGCTTGCAGCTGGTACTTGGACCCCAGGAAGATTTTTATGTTGTGCGCCACACTGTAAGTTGATTTATTTAGTTCCTTCTCGACCATAGCAATTTAGAGACGGTTCATTTTATTTGATGTATTGAAAATGGGAACAGGTCGTGCTTGGGAACCATGGTGCTCATATACTTTGCGTTTTCATCTGGAATGTTGAATGGAGGAGAAAGCGAGTTAGAGTTAGATTGATATAGAGGTCAACACAAGAACCCCAAACATTTGGGTTACATTTTTTGCTGATAAATAAAGTATATATAAATGTTGAATTTTAATTTAAACAAATAGTTATTGAACAAACATGTATTCAACAACTGTTTTCTTTTAATAATTATAATTAAAAGTTGTAATTGGCTCTTTGTGAATTAAATTATATTAATTGTTTAGGAAAGAGTACACGGCAATTTAATGGTAGGTTAAAATAATAAAACTATCTTACATTTTGCAATTTATTTAAAAAAAAAAAAAAAAAAAGTTTAAAAGGTTGAAGAACATTTTAAAAATTTAGATATTTTTGAAACACAAGAATAAAAGTGTTTTTTTATAATTAAAAATTTTAAGAATATTTTAGATAAATATAAAGTTTATATCTATTTTTTATTAGTTTAGCAAGTAATATATATATATTTGAAGCAGCAAACAAGAATTTTATTTTATTAGTTGTTAAAATTTAAGTGGAACAAGCTTATAATAAGTTTTTGTTGAATATTTGTTTAGAAAAAAATATTAAAACGTGGCCGTAAAGAACTGTGATACATATATCAAAATTGATCTCTTATGTCAACCCCTCTGGCTAGTTGTATAATATTAGAGTTTAATATTGAATAAAAATAATATAAGAAAATTTGTCAACTTTTGCCTGGGAATATTAAACTACTTCAAGCATTATTAGACTTAATCATATGAACTAATTTAAGATTAAATTCACGATATAGAAATTTAATTGAATCTTTGTTTATAATTTTAACTTATAAAATTTTAACTCACTAGACCACCATACCCTTATCCTCCCAGAAGCCGTAAAGATATTAGTAATTTAATTGTTCCATTGCTTACGGATTGCTCGGTACATCACAGAAAACAAAGCAACGGTCATCATTCATTGATATTCACGCACCGGGTCCACTTTCATTGTATTCAAATCTGTGGTCTGCAACCAGATAAGGCACCAAGTTTGAGTAAACACCACTTGATTTTATTAAATTAAATTAAAGAAAAATCGTAGCTAATTAGTAATTTTTTTGGGGGAAAAAAATGTAATTACAGATGTAATGTTTTTTCAAAGGCGGTTGCGTCGTAATTGCATATGAACACCGCTGGCCGCCCACAGTAATCTGGCGTCATAGGTCACGCGTTTAAAAACAAGTGGAAGCCGCGGTCAATTATGTTTTTGCTTCGACTTTACTCGCTGTTAATTTTATTACTTGTTAACAAAATTCACTCGTGTTAAATTAATTATAATTAAGTTTTCCAAAAATATATAATATAAAACAAAAACTAAAACTAAAATATTGTACATTTGAATTTAAAAAGGCTTTATAAAAAATATATAAACACCAATATTTTATTCGTTACCAATAAATATGTATATGATTTTTTGTGAACCTCCTTCCGCGCCTTTGAATATAAAAAGAAAATAAATAAATATTCGAATTGCATTATTGGAGAGATAGAGGTGATGTTTGGCTTTGCCCTTTCCGCATCGTTCTTATCGCTTCCACCACTATTTCCAACCTGTTTTTGTAGCTTAGCTACAGTTTATGGTCCACGTGTCGTGCATCCAATGGACCTTCATCAAACTATTTTTTATTGAACTGACGATTTTGTCCTCGTTGTCCGCTATAAATTAACCCCTTCGGCTCTTGTTTTCTTCATTCTGTGTTCTTCAATTGAGCTTCTAACCAACATCATTTCTGTTCAAGGTTCGTGGCGTTCCGTGATCTCTCTATCTCTCTCTTTTTTTATTTTTTTATTTATTTTGTTTGTATTATTCGTTAGTTTTGTTCATGTTTTCTCAGCACGTTTGGATTCATATTGCGTTTTTAGGTTTTGTTGTTCTGAGTTTCTTTGTTTCTTTTGTTTATGTGCTGGTTTGGATCTTTACGTGATTTAGAGTATCTGAATCATTCCGATGTTACGATATTTGTTGGATGAGTAGGTTTTAGGATTTCGTTTTTTTTTTTTTTTTTTTGATTGGTTTAGATATACACAAGGGATTTTGTATTCTAGGGCTAGAAATTCTTAAATTCTCGTTTTGTTTCTGGCAGATGCAAATCTTCGTTAAAACCCTAACAGGCAAGACCATCACCCTTGAGGTAGAGTCGTCTGACACGATCGACAACGTCAAGGCTAAGATCCAGGATAAGGAGGGAATTCCCCCGGATCAGCAGCGTCTTATCTTCGCCGGAAAGCAACTAGAGGATGGCCGTACCTTGGCCGACTACAATATCCAGAAGGAGTCGACGCTCCATCTGGTCCTCCGTCTTCGCGGTGGTATGCAAATATTCGTTAAGACACTGACCGGCAAGACTATCACCCTTGAGGTCGAGTCGTCTGACACGATCGACAACGTCAAGGCTAAGATCCAGGATAAGGAAGGAATTCCCCCGGATCAGCAGCGTCTTATTTTCGCCGGAAAGCAATTAGAGGATGGCCGTACCTTGGCCGACTACAACATCCAGAAGGAGTCGACACTCCATCTGGTACTCCGTCTTCGCGGTGGTATGCAAATATTCGTTAAGACATTGACCGGCAAGACCATTACACTTGAGGTCGAATCGTCTGATACCATCGACAACGTCAAGGCAAAGATCCAGGACAAGGAAGGAATTCCCCCGGACCAGCAGCGTCTTATTTTTGCTGGAAAGCAACTCGAGGACGGCCGTACGTTGGCCGACTACAACATCCAGAAGGAGTCGACCCTCCACTTGGTCCTCCGTCTTCGTGGTGGGATGCAAATCTTCGTCAAGACCCTGACCGGTAAAACCATCACCCTCGAGGTTGAATCCTCTGACACCATTGACAACGTCAAGGCTAAGATCCAAGACAAGGAGGGCATCCCACCAGACCAGCAGAGGCTGATCTTCGCTGGTAAGCAGCTTGAGGATGGAAGGACTCTGGCTGACTACAACATCCAGAAGGAGTCTACCTTGCACTTGGTGCTTCGTCTCAGGGGTGGGATGCAGATTTTCGTGAAGACCTTGACTGGAAAGACCATCACGTTGGAGGTGGAGAGCTCTGACACGATTGATAATGTTAAAGCCAAAATTCAGGACAAGGAGGGCATCCCTCCGGACCAGCAAAGGCTTATCTTCGCTGGTAAGCAGCTGGAGGATGGAAGGACTCTCGCTGATTACAACATTCAGAAGGAGTCTACTCTTCACCTTGTTCTGCGTCTCCGTGGTGGTTTTTAGATGGATGGTGGTGTCATGTTGGTCTGGTCATTGTGGTTTCTTACTTGTATGCTTTGTTTCACAATTCAAATGATGGTATGATGATTTAGTGCTTCGGCCTGTTGGCCTTAATATGGTTGTCGATTAAAATAAAAATGGATTGGTTGTTTTCATCGACTTGTTTTTTTCAATGAACTCGGCATCGTAATGGTGCATTACAACTTGTATATTCATCGAGTCGAATCACTCGATCATTTTTTTTTTTCTGACCGATGTCATCAGGATTCATATATCTCCGGAAGAAGGAGGTGTTATTTTTACTTCTTGATTAAGAACGGCCTTCGCTATATCAAACCAAATATAAATTTAATCTCCTAAATGCAAAGATCTGATCCAATTAGGAAGTATTATATTATTGGACATTCAGCTTCACACAAGGGGATCCACTAGTTCAGATACAAGTTCTTTTCACATTTGAAAATCCCTCACTTGAGGAAATTTAATATCTGAAGCAGACGGGAAGGGATCTATTTTATCAACGAAGAGGAAATGAATTCGGTGTAATATAAACTAATCGCCATCTGGTGTAATCCGTCTCAACGACCAATCAGTTTCTCGTTCCCTTGCCTCCTCCAAAAGCCCTAGACCTTATTTTCACTCCTCATTTTCTTCGATGCCCTCCAGCTTCACGACAAGTCGGAGCCCCACCTCAAAGAACTCCGCCATGAATTTGGCCTTGTTTCGTCATCTTTCATCACCAACAACACCGATCCCTCCAAGCTGATATTCTTCTATCAGGGCTCCGGGGTTTGCTGTGGGTTTCTTATATACTATTGTTGGGTTTCATTGGCTTTCATTACTCATGTGCTTGTGAATACGCAACGGGTCGTTATGATGATTTGGGATCACTTGAGGGTTCTTTGTGGAGGGTTCTTTGTGGAGGATTTTCACTGCTATCATAGTGTCTGTACCGATTGAAGAGTAAGTGGGAACCTAGGAAGAGCAAGACGTTATTATAGTTGAGTTCATCTTCAACATTCAAGAGGGATCCTTTTTACAAGTCAAGTTGCAGTATGACTACGCTTACAAGTCAAGTTGACGCACAACCACGATGTGAGCCATACTGCCTCCCTTCGGTTTTCTTGTTAGTATTTCTTTTCTCACACGAGTATCCGAGTCAACTAGCGTGCACTTCGACTAATTTTACAAGACAAACGTTCGACTTTACAACATTCAGCTGACAAGAAAATCTGTAGGATAACAAATTGATAGTAAATTCATTGAAGTTGAGCCATACTGAACAAGTTTAGTGCAGTGATTTGATGTGGTAGAAAAAGAGTTTTTCTACCACAACCAAGAAATTATAGCATACCCTAATCCATCCCAAGATCTAAAGATATCCGTTGGAAAATCTTTTGAGAATCTGATTTCAACCTATTTTGTCAATTATACTCCGTAGCAGTTGCATTTTAGGTACATTTTGACCAATTTTTGTTCACCAATTGCAGCATAATCTCAGGAGCAATCTTGGCACTTTATTATCTTTACTAAAGTTTGATTTTTAGAGTTAAATAACTCTCATGAGTATATTCAATGTAAATTGCTCCAATGAAAAATTGAATACGATTGCAAGTCGTTCATATTAAACATTATCAAAAGAACTTCATTTCCATTACGTTCACAACTCATTTTCATTACTGTTTAGAGTTGACGCTAACATAGTAGTGGGAATAGACTCGAAAAAAAAAATTATATTTAATTACCATGTTGAATATTGTTTATATGATCATGAACTGTCTTAGATTTTTATAGGATATCTTTTGTTTTTTTCATCATCACACTCATTGCATCTCTCACATATTATAATGTTTTGATTCTTGCTTTAATACTGAATTGTAAACAAAGCCCCTCTCGGTACCTTATACCAGCTGGTTGTGTCGGCACATTTAATATTAGTCCACTAAAATCCCAGAAAGGTGGAGCCAAATTCCTATGAATTGTACACCTTCCACTTACCCTTTCTTTTGACTACAATAACAATTAGATGCTTTGGGTATTAAAAAGAACAAATAAATAGCAACAAACCTTTGAATCCCATAATAAATATAATGCCAAGCTAAAAGCAGGGCAAGTGTCGGATAAAATACGTAATTTCCAGAAGAAAAAAAGAAGAGAAAAGAAAACTACTTAATCATGATCTCCACTACCTCAGCTGGAGATCATTATCCAACTCCCTTAAAGTATTTATGTCTAATTATTACATGTTAGGCTCCTATAAAAGTAAATAGAATTTGCTTTACTTATGTTAATTTGAATAAGAATTGAATGTATATCTTCTTTGTTGACACAGAAGTAACATTAAACCAGCAATTTCGTACAGGAATAACGATGTTATATTAAATAAAAATATATATCATTCCCAAAAAATGCCAAATCCAATGGCTTGTGGACAAACTATTCGTTACCACAAATTGAACTTGAGTAGGACAAAATGATAATAACACAAGAATCCAATGAATTATAGCTGCATTTTTACCGTGGGATTTGATAGGAACAACTGTCTGTCACATAATATTGTCCACTTTGTCACATTATTTATGATACATAGATTTATTTATTTATTTTCAAAAAGCATAATAACAATAAAGATAGTGTCTCTCGTTTATATACTCATTTTCCTGTCAAACGAAGTATATTATTGAACCTCCTTCTCTAGAGTCTTTGAACACCACGAACAAAGTATATCATTGAGTCTCCCCTTCAATGATTCCAAAGACCAAGAAAATGTCAAATACAAACTATTTAGTACCAAAAATTGAAACTGAATCGTACAAAATGATAATATCACAAAAGAGAATCCAATGAATTGAGGTGGTCACGTTTTTATTGAGGGACTTGATAGGAACAACGACTCTCCACGTTTGTATGATATTGTCTATTTTAAGTATAATTCTCATGACTTTGCTTTCGGTTTCTCGAAAATACTCTCACAGCCAATAAAGATAGCTTTTTTAACTTATGTAATTATCCTCCCTTCAAACAAAGTACACCATTGAATCTTATCTTCTCTTTTGGTAATCTAATAGAAGTTTAGCACGAATTTTCACTATACTACACTTTTAAGACTCACAATTTTTTATTCGACATTTAAAGATAAGAGCACGACTCTAATACTGTAAAAAGATTAACAATCCTCCATATCGGTATGATATTATCTACTTTGAACATAAAGTCTGGTTACTTGTTTTTTTTCTTATGTTTTAGATGTATAGTGTGCATATGTGCGACTCCAATAATGCACAACAGGACTTCCCTCTCCATTTTGGTATTTAAATATGTGGTGGGTGAGGCTATACTCATCACTTCAAACTTCACTGCTAGAAGTGGAGATTTGTTCATGGCGACCCATGAGCCACTTCTTCCTCAACCCCCCAAAACTACCCGCCCTAAGACCTTCTTCACAATCCTCTTTTTTTTCTCTGCTTTTGTGCTCTGCCATTTTCATCACCAACAAACTCATCAATTCAGACCCATCTGAAAATGGTCATCACCCCTTCCTTCATAACATCTGCAACATGGCTTACAACCAATCATCCTGCATTCAAATGCTCGCCTCTGAATTCCCCCTTCTTCAAGAAACCAAAACCACCAACGCGGCGAACTTCTTACAATCCTTCCTGAGGAAATCCACAAGCAAAATAGTCAACACCATCGAGAACGCCAAAGATCTCCGCCGTCGAATCAACAACCCACGCGGTGAAGCAGCTTTGGCCGACTGCGTCGAGCTCATGGAGATCTCAATGGATCGAATAACCGACTCGATTTTGGCTCTCAAGAGCAGAACGTGCGGCTCAATCGAAAATGCACACACATGGCTGAGTAGCGTGCTGACGAACCATGTGACGTGCTCGGACGAGATCGAGAATTCAATTTCGAAAACGGCGGCCATGGATTTAGGGGTTGAAGAGCTGATTGTGAGAGGGAGAAATTCATTGGGGATGTTGGTCTCGATTTGGGGATCGGGCAAAGAAGAGATGGGGTATCCGAGTTGGTTGAAGAAGGGAGATAGGAGGCTGTTGGAGGTTGTGGGGAGAGGAATGAAAGCGGATATAGTGGTGGCGAAGGACGGGAGCGGGAACTTCAAGACGGTGAAGGAGGCGGTTGAGGCGGTGCCGGACAAGAGCAAGAACAGAATTGTGATATATGTGAAGAAGGGGATTTATAAGGAGAATGTGGAAGTGGGGAAGAATAAGAAGAATGTTATGTTGGTCGGAGATGGAATGGATTCCACTATCATCACTGCTAGCCTCAACGTCGTTGATGGATCAACTACATTTAAGTCTGCAACTGTGGGTAAGATTAACAACCTTCCTCTTTCCCTCCTAATTTAAATCTGAAACCCATATTTGATGATCTCCGATTTCATAATCCAGCCGCCGTGGGAGATGGATTTATAGCCCAAGACATCTGGTTCAGAAACACCGCCGGGCCGGAAAAGCACCAAGCGGTGGCACTTCGGGTTGGAGCCGACCAATCCGTCATAAACCGGTGTCGTATCGACGCTTATCAAGACACTCTCTACGCCCATACCAACCGCCAATTCTACCGCGATTCCACCATCACTGGCACCGTGGACTTCATTTTCGGCAACGCCGCCGTGGTATTACAGAACTGCAAAATCGAACCCCGACGTCCGATGAGCAACCAGGCCAACATGGTGACAGCGCAAGGCCGAACAGACCCAAATCAGAACACTGGAACTTCCATCCAAAAATGCCAAATCGTGGCAAGCTCCGACCTGGAGCCGGTTAAGAAGTCCATTAAGACATATTTAGGACGCCCATGGAAGGAGTATTCGAGGACCGTGGTTATGCAGTCCACACTCGGCGATCTCATAGATCCAGCGGGCTGGGCTGAGTGGAATGGGGACTTTGCATTGAAGATGCTGTACTATGGCGAGTATTCTAATAATGGGCCGGGCTCTAATGTTAGCAAACGAGTGAAATGGCCCGGTTACCATGTCATTACGAGCCCAGCAGTGGCCCAAAAGTTCACGGTGGACTCACTTATACAAGGAGCTGAATGGCTGGGCTCCTCAGGTGTGACTTTTATCCCAGGGCTGTGATCGTATGCGCTTGTTGGATCTTCTCTGCTTGTTGTTGTGATGCAGTATAAAATAAAATTTAAAAAAAAAATTAAAAAAAGAAAAAAAGATCTTTTGTTGTAGAATAATTAATCACTCCTTAATTGAGTTTCGTATGAATAAGAAAAAGAGTTGGTATGAGATTATTATAAAATTATATATTTTATAATAAAAGAGATATAAACCTACTACATATATAAATTAATCAAATATTAAGAGCTGTGATTTATGATTCAAGAATTAAAATATAATTAAATGTAGTTAAAAATAGATAGAATGAGATCATGCTTCCCATATCATACCACAAAATGCCGATTTCAAGAAAAGCGGATCTTCAGATTTCTAATTACTCTCATGTCGGAAAACCACAACAATATTAATTATATTATTATTATTATTATGGAAAATAAAACGTGGTTCCAATTATAAGGAAGTTTAAAAAAATAAAAAATAAAAAAATCCATTAATATAATATTCTGCCATTTGTAGATATTTAATTTTAATTACAAATTCCAACGCTAATTTAATTCTCCCTTCTTTTCCATCTCTATCTCTCTCTAAATTCTTCGCTCCACCATGGCTTCTAAAATGAAAGGAATCTTCAAAAGTTTCAAATTCATCAAACAAATTTTTGGTAATGCCTCTTTCTTTTGCTTCTTCGTTTTTTTTTCTTTTTTAATCGAACTATCACTGAATTCAAAAGTTTGTGATGATAGCCGTAAAAGAACGAGAGATAGAAATTGGGTACCCGACGGATGTGAAGCATGTATCTCATATCGGGTTGGATAGTACGTCTCCATCCGGTTCGAACCCGAGCTGGGTATGTTTTTTCTCTCTTCAAAACCTTTTTAGATTTGGTGTTTTGTTTATTCTTGTTGTTTGAACAAACGCAGATGAATGAATTTAGAACAGGCGATGTGAGTGAAAGAAGAGATTCCAGTTCAACCGCCGTAACTGCTCTCACTCATTGGTCCACTCATTCCCAAGGTCTGTTCTCGATCTAATTTTTCACACAATCCCAGATAATGGGAATATCAAATTTAACAAGCATTTCTACGTGGGATCTGCTGTGAAGCAGAATTCGATGTTTCAATAGGTTACCAATCGGCATCCGACATGTCGATGGAGCTTCAGCAGCCACGACTTCCAAAGAAACCAAAGAAAAAAAGGAATTGCAAGAACAACAAAGTCAAAAGCTTCCTGCAATAACAAATTAATGGCTCGGTTTTTCCAGAATTCGTCACAACTTTTCAAAGCCTGGATGTTTCTGTTCGTGGGAGTGAAAATTTCTAAATTTCTAAATTTCTAAATTTCTTTTCACCTCTTTAGTTAAAAAAAAAAAAGAAAAAAAAAAGAAATCACCAATTGATCTCTATATTTAGTTCAAATTTAATCTGTGAATTACAAATTCAAATTTTTAATATAGAAATATAGAAATACACATAATCGCTATGTTCAAAGGATGAAAGAGTTTCTTATCATCTTCTTATCGAGTTGATACTAAACTTAGAATATATATATTGTGAAAACTATATTATATAATTGTGAAAAACAAAGATGTGGGTTTGATCATGATTATGATAATATTAAGGTACATAAAATGATATGCACGGGAATTAATGTTTGACAACAACAAAACAGAAACATACAATTAAAAAGATGTCTTCTGTTAAAAAAATTAAAGGGTGGTATAGGAAGATTCCAGTACACTCTGCCAACCATTATTATTTTCCTTTATTAATTACACAAGTATATAAATTTCACACAGTCTGACTTCCATTTTACGTCACTGTTCCAAAAATTACTTCTGTACCTTTGGGATTCTCTCATCAATCTTCTTCTTCTTCCAATTCATTTTGTAATGTAAATAATCCATTTACATATGAACATACAAGTAACCCGTACTAATTATTTTCCCACACGTTCATCCAAATTATCAAATTTGTTGCAAATAAATATTTGCAATAGATGTTACGAAAAGGAGAGGGAGAGGGATGCTAAGGTAGGTAGTTGTGTAGATTGAAGAATGAATGTTGTCATTATTTGTCACTCCTAACGTTGTTATACACAATGGCCCATGCATCCACCTAGAAAGCATCTCTATGTTCCAAATCAAATCAATTTAATATTTTTTCGGACCCGGCTGAGTGGATTTTAAGGAAAGGTTTGAGTCAAATCAATATAAATTACCTTTGGAAGGTAAATGGTGAAATGGAATTGGGAGTGGTGTTTCAGTTATACCAAGGGTTTAAAAAGTTAAGAGGTAAAAGGTAAAAAAAAACAACACACACACAAAGCCATAAATTAGAGGTGTTGAAAATTTAATGTTGTTGGGTGATATGTAAATATCAAAATTAAAGAAAGGCAAAACTTGTATCCCCACTTCCTGGTTTTCATTTTCAGGTGATTCGATTTTTGCTTTTTAATAAAAGAGTCACATCAATATTATTATTATTTTAAGGAATGGTTGAATGTATAATGAAATCAATTGTAAAAGTGTGAAAATCTCAGACGCATTTAAAAGCTTTCGAAGAAAAAAATCTAGTGAGACAATATTTACTGGCAAACAGTGAGTTTTGGACTTTTACAAATGATATTAGAGTCAAACACCGAGTAGTGTGATAGTGAGACGCTGGTTCCTTGAAATGGTGAATTGTAAGATCTCGTATAAGTTAAAGTGGGAAACGAATAATTTTCCAAGATGCATTTTGAAACCTAAACGAGAAACGTTCAATTAAGGGAAAGTTGAAAAAGCCCTTTCGAGATGAAAATATATTTTAGACAGTGACTTAATTTAATACAGTTTGAAAGTGTGGAGTTGGAAGGATAGGATAGGATGTTGGGGGGGGGGGGGGAAATGAAAGTG